CGGTAAATAAGAAGGGCTATGTCCTTGCCTGGGCTCGAACCAGGGACCTTCTGTGTGTAAGACAGATGTGATAACCACTACACTACAAGGACATTGGAGGAATGATGAGTCATTCAAAGGAATCGACAAGCAACTATCTCAGTTATGTAATATAAGTCAGTCAGTAGTAGAAGGCACTACTTATTAGTGACTTATACAGGTGGCAGTGAGGTGGTATGCATGTTTTATACTGCATAACTGAGATAGTTGCGTGTCGATTCCTTTGAATGACTCATCATTCATCCAACGTCCTTGTAGTGTAGTGGTTATCACATCTGTCTAACACACAGAAGGTCCCTGGTTCGAGCCCAGGCAAGGACATTACCCTCCTGTTTATCGGGACAGAGTCCCACATACCTGTTCAGTAAACTGATAAAATGGATTTGAGTATACAGTATGATGTAAAAGATAAATAAGTTTTCATGTCCAAACCGTGAATGGACCGAATTAACAACAAATACCACGGACGTTTACAGGTCAGACGATCAAATGAGCTTTCTGCTTGCGTGAAAGGTTTTTGTTTTAGCTGTTATTACACGGGTCTATCGCGACTTTCTGATACATCGCGTTTAATTGTCAGTCGCCGGAGATAGAGGAAGTAAGAGTTAGTGTTCAAGACTACGTAATCTTCAAGAATTTTTGGAGGCAAAGAGTAGATGTCGCTATGGCTGTGCTGTATGATGGGCATAGATGGTTGTCTTTCCGTAAGCGGTAGTAATAATGTCCTTGCCTGGGCTCGAACCAGGGACCTTCTGTGTGTTAGACAGATGTGATAACCACTACACTACAAGGACGTTCGATGAGTGATGAGTCATCCAAACGCGACGGCAACCACCTATCCCAGTTGTGTAACATAAATCAGGCATAGCCCTTAGTGCCGTCTGTATAAGTTACTAGTGATTAGTGGTGCTCATTGACTTATGTTACATAGCGCAGATCGTTATCTACTTTTGAAGAGTCATCGTTCATCGAATGTCCTTGTAGTGTTGTGGTTATCACATCTGTCTAACACACAGAAGGTCCCTGGTTCGAGCCCAGGCAAGGACATTATTATTATTATTATTATTATTATTATTATTATTA